TTGTTGTTGTTGTTGCTGCTATTGCTCGGGCTTCTTGCTCTTACTGCTGCTGCTGACGCTAATGCTGATGCTGATGCTGGTGCTCTTGGGCACAGAAAAGCTCCTACGAGTGCCTAATGCCACAGCCCAGGCCCCACATGTCAGATCCGAAAGCCTAATGCCATATCCTACACAGTAAATCCTGAAATCTAAGTCCTAGAGTCCTTCAGTTTACATCAGACCCACACTTCAAGCCCCAACCGCAAAGGGCTTAGACTTTCCGTGTCTTGGGACGATGGATCTCGCCATGCCTCTCAGGTTTTTGTTTTTCAAACGTGGAATCCTGCGTAAAGTTTAGGGTTTAGGGAGTGCCTGCTAGTGGGCGTGGCACACACACACACACGACTGGCAATTCTGTGCTCTGAACCAAGTGTGCTGCGAGGCTGCGCGAAAAGTCACCGAACCCTAAACCTCAGGCCCCAAACCTCAATCCCAAGTCCAAACCCCCCAGGTTTAAACCCTGAAGCCAAAGACCCCAATCGCCATTTAGAGCTTAAGTGTGTGGATTTAGGGGTTTGGGGCCTAAGAGTTATTTTGGGCATGTGGGTTGGATTTAGGATGCATACGCCTGAAGTCAGAAACGCCAAGCCTGACGCCCGGCAGTTTCCGCCGGCAATGAACCCACGCGATGTGAACTTCGAGTCGCGGCCCCAGGGTGAGATAGGGCAGAGCTTTATGAGGCTTCAAGAGTTTCGGGGTTTAGGGTTGCGGTTGAAGGGAGGAGGGGTTCGGGGTTCAGGAGTCTGGCGCTAAGGCTAGCAAGTCATCAGTAACGCCACCTCTTGACCTAGCACCGGCTGATCATTGCATCGAGCCGGGGAGCTGCATAAGTCCTTCTTCAGGAATCGCATTTTCCCTTGTTTTTTGTACGTGGTTTCTTGGTGCGGTGTTTGCACCAGATTGGTGCCTGAGAGCAGACTGCTTCGCTGGAAGCCCCATGTCGAGAACCACACGACGTCCATGCACGTTAGATGCGTCGTGGGGGGGTGCTTGGAAAATTGCTTGTACAGGATTTCGGACGCCGATATGGAGCCATAAATACGGAATCTCTGTGTGGACTTGATCAGTAGCATGAAAGTCAGGGAAGCGAACCGACACATGGTCTCGGGCACCGCACCCTGCTGAATCTGCAGATCCCATTGCTAACTTCATTCTGTTGTCATGATTGTCATCACTAACAAATTGTAAGCTTTTCTGCGGTTGATTGTCATTGTTCTGGCACGGTTCAATGTTTGTTCTGTGAAGATCTTTCCAAAGTACTTCGTTGTGGTTTAGGGTTGTGGCAGACGAAAATGATTGTCTGAGTTCACAGTGCGGTAGATTGCAACGCACCCGTGACTGTTGTGATATTACTGAACCTGATAGGTCGTGACGACCGCAATCAACCTGATAGAACCAGCACCCCGAAATGGAGGTCGCCTGACGGAAATCCCAACTTGCTGCCCCCGCTGCTCGGCAAGCAATGAACCAGAAGCCAGAATGTTGGAACATCATCGTAATGCCCAGAAGGTAAAGGGCAGGGAATCCCGAAACTAATCATCCGTGAGCCATGTTTCGACTTTCTTTGGGTTCACTGTGTTTGAACCCTCAAACCCAACTAACCCTCAAAGCTACTGCAACACCGCCCTTAGCCCAACCCCCAACATCCATGCATCCCTTGTGCATGTACCTTTCTTAACCCTTAAGCCCGGATAAATCCTGAGCCGCTAATTAGCTAAATCACATCCCGTAGCTTGGAACCCCGAAACTCGATAGACCCCCTCGCCCTAAAGATCCCTGACCCCGAAACCGTTACAAATCCGGCACTTCAGACCCTTATCAGACCCTTGCAAAACCCTTCTAAAACCAATTCGAAACCCATTGAACCCTGTCCACCTTGACCTTACTTATACTCCCAACCCAAACGCCAAAACCCGAAACGAGGGTTGGTGCTACCCCTGCCGCTTCAAGTTCGGCTGCGCCGCCGCCCCGACCTCGTCTGCCAAGCTGGGTGTCGCAAGAGTCTTGTGGGCTTCTATCAGGCTTGTGTTTACACAGTAATTTTGTTTTCAAGTTCTTTAGCGGTTGTATATGCTTTCATGATAACTGGCGTGTGCTAAGGAGCCTGCAGCAAGGGGTGTAATCCGCTACAACCTTGGCAGCATCATGGGATTTGCAAAGGCGGTTATATTTACGTTAGTAACCCTTTTCGTAACCCAAAAGGCCTACTGTTTGTTAGTTCTTGAATGTAGTAACACTTTATACGATTCCTTTAAAACATGGGCTCGTAGACTTTGGGGTTACAGGTGTTTATCACCTTGTTGCCATGACCCCTGAGGTTGGCATGTGATGGGGGCTTTCTTTCGTTATGGTGGGAACTGTCGCTTTGCAGTTTACACGTGTGGGAGTTTGCACATCTCTTGACGGGACACGCTGGTGCTTTACATGCCGGCCCTCCGAGTGAAGGCTTTGGGCTGGGCTGAAATGCTAAAAAAAGTTCCCGTCCGGAGTCCACAAGTCATGGATTTCCGTTTGTCCGCAATGTTGGAGGCTTCTGGTGCCTGTTGGCAGGTGGACTACGAAGGGGTAGTCATAGCCGCCACAATAAACTAAATACTCAACAACCATCACCATAGTCACCATAGTCGTATTGACAATCGTAGTCATAGTCACAGCCAACTTCATAGTCGGGGTCATACTCGCAGTCACAGGCATTGGGCATAGGCATAGTCCTGTCGTTGGCGTAGTCATAGTCGTAGTAATCACGATCGTGGTCGAAACTGAGTCGAAACATTCATTGGAATAATGGTCGTAGATTGAGCAGTATTCATCAGAGCAGCAATAGCTCGAATAGCATCGGTAATGAGAGTAGCAGTGCTAATATCATCAATGCCACCCACAAACCAAACATCACGAAACGAAGAAGTTGTCTAGCTCCCGCGTCGAGAATTCCCAGGTCGTCCGGCATGGCGGACACACTGTCGAAGACCATTGCGAGCATCGAGGTCTCCTGTTGTGGGGAGGGCTCTGGATTCGAGGCTGAGGCTTAGGATTTAACGGTTCGAACTCAGATTTTTGTTTAGCCTTTAATAGTCTTAAGATCATTACACCCCGAGAAAAGTTATGAAGCCCAAGTGGGTTACAAGTGCTTCGTTTGTCTCAACACGTCAAGCGTGCAGGTGTAGGCAGTCTGTTATTTCGTTGCTTGCTATTGCCAAAACGTTGACGCCTGAGGCTCGAAAGGTGGAAGTGGGCTGTTGGCTTGGCCCGTTTCATCAGTTCCGCTGACGGTAGACGCTTAACTTAGTGTCTGTGAAAGTCCTGCGGGGGTTGAGATTCCAAACTTGGATCCTCAGGGTGAAGACCATGCATCTCGCTTCAGATTGGTCCAGTCTGATGCAGGATGCATGGTCTTCAGATTGGTCAAGCATTTGTGAAGCCTCCCACCTTTGACATCATCAAATCCTTTGCCCACTTGGTGAACACGACACTTGTGCTCTTCGTTCTGACACCAGGCACAGATCCAGTCTCAGATGCCGTTGCCTTCGCTGACAAGCTTGCCATGCTGTGGCGATTTGAGTCGATTTCCTCGGGGCGGGGCAAGGGCCCAAGGCAATGAAGCTCATCGAAAATGCTGAGGGTAGTGGCGGATGGGTCTTGCTTTCAATTGGTCACCTCATGGAGTCTTTGATGCAAGACTCCATGAGGTGACCAACGTCGTGGAGCAGTTCAACCCTGATAACGTGCAGACGGAACCTGTGTGGCTCACATCTATGCCGGCCAGGTCCTTTCCGGTGCAGGTGCTGCAGAATGGAGTTAAGATGACCAACGAGCCGCCCTCTGGGCTGCGGGCCAACTTACTTCGTTCACACTCCGCGCCGGAGTGTGAACGAAGCAGGTTGGCCCTCTCGGACGAGCTCCTCAGGGAGTCGAATAAGCCGGAGATCTTCAAGACGCTGCCCTTCGGCTTCTTCCATGTGGTTGTCCAGGACCGGCGTATGTTTGGGCCGATGGGCTGGAATAACTCTTATGGCTTCACACCGGAAGATCTGCAAGTCTGTCGGAAGCAGCTCCTGGGTTTTTGTTAAGGAGTTTAACTTAAGTTACCATAGTAGGGATCTAGAAGTAAAGAATAGGCGGTTCTTTCTTGTGGCAATTTATATTCTATCCCTGAACGAGATCCCAGGCTCATGCTCTTCATCAACCAGCACGAGCAGGTGCCCCTACAAAGTCTTGAACTGAATTCAGTTCAAGACTTTGTAGGGGCAAAGACGGGCAAAGATTAACTATTGTGGTCGTGTCACAGACGACAATGATAGGCTGTTGATTTCGGCGATCCAGGATCGTCGAAATCAACTGCTTATCTTTGTCGTCTGTGACACTGACGATGCTTCAGACTTTCATCCGTCCGGAGGCGGTGGAGCAAAAGTATGGCTACAAGTATTCAGCTAGCGGCTTTTACTATGCTCCAGCTGCGGAAAAGAGATGTGGGCGATGAACTCTTCCATCGTTTCCGGTTCAGACTCGACATGTGGATCCTGAGGTTGAAGACTTTACATTTCCACAGCCCCTTTTCGGAAGGGGATGCTACAATTGCTTGTTATTCAGGGCTCTGCATCAACAGCCTGGGGCCTAATCCTCTAACACTAGAGACAGCAAGCCATTACGGAAGGGGCTTATGAGGCGGCCAGCGTGTCATGGCATCAAGTTGACTGCAACAACAGTTGTCGGAAGATTTGTCCTGGTAGCTGAGTGAATCGCGAGCTGTTTTCAACTTCCGATGTACAGCGCAGAAACGTCTGTGGTCGCCGTCTGTTGCAGACTCCACCGTTGGAGCACGTGCTTCACTCTCAGCCCGTCTCGAGCCTAAACCCCAATCCTCCGACTGTGATCCCTCAGACAAGCAAACGCAGTCGCAAGGACTCCATGAACCTGCCTTCCTGGCTGCGGCAGATTCGCCACTGATGGCTGGAAGGGGCTCTCCGGTTTCGATGACTTCGGATTTATAGTTTGAGGTGTTTAGTACCCAAACCCGGAATCCCGACTCCCTAAAGCCTCAAAACGCGAAGACTTTGCGGGCGTTTTTTTGACCAAGGCCCCTGATACAGCCCCAAATTGCGGTATCCTAGATCAAAGGACCACTACTTAGTCAACCCTAGGTTTTCAGGAAATACCTGAAGATTGTGTAATGTTTTGAAAACCCTAAAAAAGCCCAAGAGCAACCCGTCCTACAGCCCTACAGGTGCGGTTACAGCTTCAGGGTGTGGTAAATAAAGGTCAGAGTTCCCCGAGTCCCAGCTTCGCTTCCAAAGAGGAGCGCTTCAACCCCCCCCCCCCCCAGAGCTGCCACAAGACGTGGCCATCGGGGGTGGTGACGCAGCTTCGGGTTTCTGCGAGGTCAGGGCACTTAGCAAGTAGATTCAACGTTAATGTCTAAACCCCCTGGAAAATCGTCTCGGTGGTCAAAGCAAGGCCCCAGGATGAACCCCCAAGCCAACAACACTGCCAAGAACTAAGCCTAAACCTTCAAAGCCGAAACGCGAGTCAATGCCCGGTTCTTTTCGATGGAAAATGTGGGCGGGGGGGGGGGGGGGGGGGGATTGGACTGGGTAAGGGTGCAGGTGTATGGGTTTGAAGAAAGTGTTTCAGTGGAATGGAGGATATTCCCACATGTTCGTACCATGTTCATGCGTTCGATTCTGCTCTGTAGTGGCTTTGTACTCGTCGGCTTCAAGATAGACTTTGCTGCTGTACCTCAAGGTGAACTTCACTTGCTGCCTGTACCTACATTTGGTTGTGGAGGCTGCTGCAGCTGCCTTCATTGGCATATTGTTGTCTAAACATGTATCGTTTTGCTCGTAGACCTGCCCCTCTTCGCACTGCCACGTGCAAACTGTTGCTTGTTTAGGGATAAACAACTCAGCAACTGTAGCCTTGATCATGACAACTATAAGTGTGAATCAATGCACTATATGATTTGCACCTCTCTGCGTAGTACTACGTATAGCTATTATGCTATGGAGGTATGCGTGCTGCAAGACGCGTCTAGATCGCGCACCATGACCTGTTGATACCATTTTATTTAGTTTACCTGGCATCCTTAAAGGTTCAGGGGACTGAGTGAGTAGGTTCAAGAAGGGGTTCCATCAAGATAACCCGAAAGCAGGCATCTAGAACTCCAGACGCAAAGAGCACGTACTGGCTCGGTCCCTTGGACCTTCAGGTGCAACAGTGTCCCGCAGCTCATACACGTTAAGTAGACTTGTGGCACACTTCGGATGTTTGTTCGATACTTGAACGTGTACAAGCATATATATATATATATATATATATATTTATTTATGTATATTTATGTATGAATGCATGTATCTCTGTCTGTCTGTCTGTCTGTCTGTATGTATGTATGTATGTATGTACGTATACTCACATACATATATAAATAAGGAATAAATAAAGACAGATTTTTATGTGCATCTGGGTATTTACTTGTATATATACGTACATCTGTGATGTATGTGTGTATATACGTATGCATACTTATCTTGTGCAGACGCAGGTTTTTGATTCGAAAGCGGAGCACTTACCGCCAGTGAACTTGGCCGCGCTGCCGTTTCTCAGGGTCGGCTCAGTGCCCCTTCCATCGACAACAGCTTGACTACTTCACCACTTTACCACAGACATCATGGCCACTGCAGGCGCCGGGAGGGGAAGTGGATCTTGGATCCCAACCTCCATGCTAAGCCCCTGGACAGCGCCAGTCTGAACTATTTGTAATAACTAGTCCGACTGTAGCCAGAGTAGAAGGTACCTAAAACTCTGTTCCAACTATTAAAGGCCCCCACATGAATTAATCACCGGCTCTTGGGTATGTTTTGGCGCCAACAAAATATGCCAGCGCTGGCGATACTAGCGTGCCCGTCCCCCACAAGTCTTTCTCAATGTCCCATCGCGAACCCCCTCCGGCCGCCTTCGTCCTGGACTTCGGGTTTGGATATGATATGGTCGTCATATGTTGAATCGGGATCTGGGCTATAATCTGAAGTAGCTAAGTAGGGACCAGACACGAATATTGTTACTGCCGGAAGCCATGGCTTTAGACGTCCAACTTGCATCAAGCGTTTCTATTGTCAATCCCGTGCAAACACCTCAAACCGTCCCGATGCCCGAAGCTCCATATGCTAGCCTGAATCCTGCGACTAAACCCTAGCTCCGAAACCCTAAAACCCGGAAGCCCCTATGCAAAACAATGTTGGAATCATCTCAAGCCGTCCAAAATAGCTGCAAAACCTGGAATTTTAAACCCCTAGATCAAAACCCTGGCTGAATTCCCACAGTACGCGTTCGAGTTTGGTCGCAGGAGTCAACGACAAGTCTGACCAAGAGGTGTGCCTCCAGGGTGTTCTGCTCGGTGTTCTTTAGGAACAAGGGGCCGTAATGATAATTGAACAGGGTTTTGGAGTATCTTATGCTAGGGCCGTGTTTGAGAGGATCTAGCATGAGCAGTTGGGGGTTTATGGGATTTAGTGTTCAGGAATTTGATGTTTTGGTTTAGGGCTTTTGCTTGGGGCGGAATCCGGAGGGGCCTTCATGATTTGGTTTTTTTTTGGGGGGGGGGGGTACTTATAGGGCTTTGCAATCTGTAAGGCCTCGCCAACAGTTGAAATTTATGAGTTGTTGGCTTGGGGTTTGGAGGAGTGCTTTCTGGGCTCTCTGTAGAAACATGCCCGTTATCTTTTTCTAATCAAAAGGGTCACTGAAGATCGCGTTGTCGTTGCTAGCCTAAGGGGCTTATGTTTAGTGCCCCTTGCCTAAATGGTATGGTATGGGGGTATTCGATTGGGGTTCTTGGTTCTCCTCACGTTCGGTTTGCAGTCCTGCAAATTTGGGGTTGGGTTTGGGGCGGGGGGGGGGTAGAGTCGAAGGTTTATTGCACTGACGGTGAAAGCTTAGGGTTTCGGCTTCTGGGTAGAAGGATTTTGCCTTTCTACAGACATTGTAGCAATCGTGGTATCGATGCTGTTGTTGCTATTGCTCGCCTGTGCTGCTATTGCTACCCCGACCACCAACCGTTGCCCCCTTTCCACCACTTGACTAGGACAAGTGCAAGTTAAGAAGAACAGAATCCGAATAGGCTCTGCCCTGACTGCAAAGATAATAAAGGGGCCTAAAAACTATTATAACGATAGTATAATGGGCCCCAAAACCCTATTCTAATTCTTAAGGCCCTTGTATTAGACACAAAATCCTATACAGGAGGCTACCCCCGAAAAGCCCTCATAAACTCCGCCTCAAGAAGCTGTGGTCGCTGTTGCAGGTCGTTTGGTCGTTCGGTGTCGCTTGGCAGAGTTGCGTTTAGGGTTTCACAATTGAGGGTTGACTGTTTAGGGTTTAGATTAGATGGTTTAGGGCTTATGGCTTGCAGGGTTTACCGTTAAGGATCCTTTATGGTTTTGTGCAATTTCGACGACAGAGGTTTAAGGGGCAGCTTTCCTTTAATTAGCCTTAAACCCTTCACGGTTTCCGAGGATGACCGAGTCGAAGAAGTAGTGACACAAGTGCGGCCTTCAAGTGGCAAATAGGTTTTCGTATGGGGTTGCTCAGCGCTTTTCAATCGAGTTCTACATGGGTTTAGAGTACAATCCAAGCTAAACAGGTGTTTTGGGGGGGGCTGGGTTCCGGGCTGGGTTTCAGGGTCTTCGAGGTGATGAGCATTGGGGGGTTTGGCAGATGGGAGTGGCTTGTTTGAGCTTGGGATTGAGGCTTGAATTGACGATTCGATTCGATCGTTTTGAGGTTCAAGGCCTGGTTTCGGATACGGGAGCCTCTCTTATCCCGCCCTCCATCCTAATGCTTGAAGGCTTTCAGCGAAACTGTTGTTGCCCCAAACCCTAAACCCTAAACCCTAAACCCTAATCCCCAACCCTACCACCCCCCCCGGCTAAGCCTTTCCCTTGGGCCCCGAGCCCTCAGTTCTGAACGTGCCAGATAACTCAAGCGAAGCCCAGGATGACATCGAAGGTCTCTTCAAAGTCGTCATTCGGAATTCTTTCCTGGACGTGGACCACGCGCTATCCCCAGCCCCAGTTCTCATTATTGACCCCATGGAACCTGAACCCCCAAACCCAGTTCTCATTGCGGATATGTTTGTTCGCTTGCTCCGGGTTGTCGTCGTCGGACAGAGTAGGCAAGGATTTGTGTAAGGCGGCTCCTGGGCAGCATCCCGGCATCGCCCTGGGACCCTAAAGGGTCGAGAGTTTGGGTGGTTTTGGCTTCATTTGGGTTAGGGGTGTGTGTATTTTTGTCGGGATGTGGTGTTGAGGTCTGGGTACCGAGGCTGAAATACCGAGTCTTCATCATGTCACGGCAGGGTGAACGGTGGTTGGACCGGAAGTTTGACTTCCCACAGCCGCGCACAGAAAAGCGAAATGGCGGGCAACGCAAACAGGTTTGGTTTCAAGTGGGTTTGACTAATCCCTTGGCTGCGCAAACATCGAGGCT